GACAGTCTCTTCCGAGCACGAGTGTTCTTCGAACCTTCTGCACGTTCTTCTTAGCTTTACACTTCAACTTGTCTCTCCACAATTACAGAACTGGCAGTGGCTGGAATGCAAGATATAATAGTATCCTCAACGATGTAAAACTTAGAAGAAGCAAGATTTGTTTGTAAATTGTGTATTATCATCATTCACATAAACTCGCAATAATTGATTGAAATATTGCTGAGGATTATTTCAGAATTAATGTTTCTATACGTATAATCGATTAGATATAACTAAGTCCTTCGAGGAAAAATCTTTCCTGCTCTTGAGAATTCCAGCGAATTTTCTTGTCGCGTGTGCAACCACGGTATTTAATGCATCTCCGCGAGAAATTTGGCCTGGCGCCAGTACAGTAATGATAATAGACATCGGCTAACTATAGTTGCTTAGGGGGGAACGTCAGTATTCATTTCGAAGCGTGTTAGGAACACGACATCCCGTAATAACTATGATCCATGGTACCTCGAAATCTCATCGTCTGTCATTAATCAACGTTACACGCAGATAAATGCGTAACTTCCGACGCTCTCTTACACATAGGTACCGTTTTGTGTATCCATTCAGCATCTTGTACACGATAAACGCAGCTTGACTTTTTATTAAATTATTCAATAAGATTTTAAACCGCTATGCGTACGCGGTTACATCGTTAGATATTAGTCATTAAGGAAATCGCACCGCGATGTGTACATTCGAGGAAGCTTATCTTATCAGAGAACCACCTTGGCAAGCAGTCACGTAATTGTCTAATTTATGTATTCTTAGTACGTAGCCATGACTATATCGGAGGAACGAGAGCTAATTACGCACGTAGAAAGACAATCATGAAATGCGAAAATGCCGAATTTATTTTTATCGCGCCATTCGTAAATATGTTAATTACAGGAAGCTCTAAAATGTGAATATGTACTTTTGATTGAAAAACGGAAAAATCTGTTCTCTGCCCCTCTCTCAATATATATATATTTTTCTCTCTCTAAGAGCGAACCATGATGATGATTGTGACGCTTTACGTGTATATCGACTGGAGGAACGCGTGTAATTTAACGTGAACTGGATGCGAGGGTATACCGTAATTGCAGTGATCTAACATAGGCTGTGTGTGCGGCGAGATGACCGCGGGAACTTGCGTCTGGGTGGTCGAGAATCCTGACAATAAGTCGAGTCCCGTTTCTCATTGGTCGAGAGAGAGAGAGAGCTGGATCTGGAAAGGTTGGAATCACATTCCCGGCAAAACCAGCATTTTAATCACTGCTGGGCGTTTACGCGTGAACAACGATAATCTATGTCTGCTATGTCGACTATGTAGATCATCGTTTCACGCGTTATCTAGCGCACGCGTGTGCACGTAGCTCTGTGTGCCTACTCCACCTTAATTCTGTTTAGCGGAATAGAGTTTAAATCAAGCGTGTTCCCAAGAGCCTGATCTTAATAGAAGAAAATAATTATATATATGAATATTGCGTGATTATAACTTCCTCGACATCGCCATACCGTGTACCAAGACCTAACAGCGTTAACAACCGCGGCGGGAAATAGTGCTGTCTCACGAGAGAGACTGATCATGCGATAGGAATTGAGAAAGGAGATCCTATTTAAATTACTTTGCGAGTCCTGTAGAGATGATGACGTCAGCGCTCACGTCGCTTTCCGCTCGCGTCCCACTGGTTAAGGGTTAAACGAAAACGAGACGTGTTAAAAGAAAAAGAGAAGAGCGGAGCCTTGAAGCTGTCTGGCGCGTGGGTGTTTCAATGGATGATGCGTCAAAGGAATAGCGAGACCCTTTATGTCCACAGGTTCTCAAGGTGTATTTACGCGACTCTTTATTTCTCGTGTATGGATATCCTTGAGTCTAGAATTCTTACGTGCCCAGACGAACACGCATCACCGATAGCTATAGCTATTGCGTGTTTCTCTCTCCAGCTAACTTCCTTCAAATTACATTGCTATAAATTCTCGATTTGTAACAATTTCGTGATGCGTTGTATCGAAAATTATTTTTACTTTCTGCCTTTCAATGGAATAGACGACGGGTCGCTTCAAATCAAGGGATTTCGCTTAAGTGGGTCGACGGTAAATCATTGCGACCGCTTCTGAATACTTCTCGGAATATTCTTTACACTTGGTTTCTCGATCTTCTCGAGATATCAAGCAGAGTAGGAAACTATTTTTTAGGTCATCGTTACAAGGGAGAGTTGTCTCGGGATCATTACGTCATCTATCGCCGGCATCACGTCGTGTGCATATTTAGACACTCCGGCCATTCTCGTCACGTGTTGCTTCATCGCGTATTATCATGCCGAATGCATGTATAACAAAAGCCAGCCGTTCTATTATATGCGAGATATCCAGCAAAATGCAAAATTTCATTCGTGCTTCCACTATATCTTCTCCGAAAATTTGTTCGTGGCTATATAAATTTTTATTCTCTATCTATTACGTACTTTTCATTCATCCATCTGTCGATGCACAATATTTGTCGTATCTTCCTTTGAAGAATAGAGGGAGTTAGCAAATAGAGTTATTTCTTGTCATCCTGCTCTATTTCTGGTATCCGTCCATGAGTGGCATGAAGTCACGGTTAAAATGGCCCTAAGCGGCTTATGTTTTACGAGTTTTGTAGCAATAAACGTGACACCATTACTCCGCGGGAACTGTTTCGCTATTTCTGATACATATTTTAAACAATTTTTTGACGCATCGGACGTTCGGAACGAACGATGGTGCAACAGCTGAAAATAATTCTCGAAATGCTGCGAATACAAAATTGACCGTTTATATGTATATATATAACTGTCTATGTTTTGAAGCGATAAGTTATTTAAGTTTTTATGGCTTCCCTATACTACGAGCTCTATGGGACTTCTTTGAAACCATTAAAAATGCTCAGAAATATAAGTTAGTTTTGACGATGTAAGGATTGGCGGATTAAGTTCGGAATACATGTTTAATTTCAGTCTTTTTTTCATCTCTAGTCTTCTCATCCGTAGTCATAGTCTTTTTTTGCACGTATTGTTAAAGTTCCATGGAATATATCTTTCTTCTGTACACAATGAAAAAATTTAGAAGAAAAAAGTTTTTAGAAGTATCTTCAAATAATTAATAGAAATAACACAATATAAAAGCTGATTTTGTTCTTTACTTACTTGGCTAATGCGATCGCGAAAATTTCAATTACGCTTACGACGGTTGAAAGACCGGATTGTGCAATGAAAGGACCGATCCGCTTAATTAAATGGCCATTATATATAAATGGGGAATACGCCCATTTCATAAATCTAGGGCCAAACCTTCCGCATGTAAGCCGGAATTTGTTTTTTCGGCAATTGTGTCATGGGTGTAGCCGGGTAATGAAACGTGTTTAAATCGATCGCGAATTTTTACCACACGGACTTGTCGCTCTTATATATTGCCAGGCAACAATGGCAATTACTTTGGCACAATAAGTAGGAAGTGCAGGCTATTAACGCCGCCTCTTTTACGTCCTGCGTTAATTACTATCGGTACAATATACGCGAAACTTGTTAAATAACGCAACGTCCGTTTTTTTGTTTAATCTTGAAAAAACTTTCATGAACCCGCGATTTATCGTCGGTTATTTATAATATTTGTTCTAGGTCGAGTCGGTGGACCTGGCGCTGAAAATTTTGGACGGCTCGCAAATCCGAGGGAAAACATTGTCGGTCCAGAGGGCAAAGTTCCAAATGAAGGGCGAATATGATCCCGCGCTGAAACCGAAGCGGAAAAAAAAGGATAAGGAGCGGCAGAAGAAGATACAAGAAAAGTAAGTCTCTAAAAATTGTATGAATGACGAATTTTAAAACGATTGATATTGATTAAAGTTGACGTTAAGTAATCGCGCGCGCGTGTGTTCTGTAAAATATAAATACGAATCTAAATTCATCTGTATTTTTTATATTCATTTATATATAATATATTATATATTATATTTTATAAATTTATTAAATAAAACATATCCAGTATAAATTTATTATATTGGAAATGCTTGCCACGCCTTATCTGCTTAAAGCGTGGTGTCACTTCCTGCCGAGTCGCTCCTTATAATTCGGGTTCGGTGAATCGCGTTGCGAAATCGGGATGGTCGCGTTTCTCCTCGGTTTCTCCTCGGTCCATTCATCTCTCTTTTCGCTCGCGTCCGTGCGAGACGGCGTATCCCCCAGAGGGGGGATCAAGATATGTTTCATCCACAGAGATGCGACCGCCACGCGTGTATGTATCTTATTAAGGCCTCTATGCACCGCGTTACACACGTGTCGCGGGCGGCTCGGTTAAAACAGCATCGCGATGATTTCGAATCACGATGCTCGGTTGTGGACGATAATATGAAAGAAACGTTTTCACATATACGTGCCTTATGCGCGTGTAACACGTGTTACGGTGTGCGTAGAGGCTTTTATAATTGCGCTGCCATCGGCTCGTAGCCGCCAGACTGCTTGGCGTTGGCGGTTCCGGCAAAGGCAGCTGTGCACGTCGATTACCCGCATTTAGTCTGTCGGCCCGTGCATACAGGCGGACCCAAAATTATACGGGCACGATGCACTTCCAGCAAGATTGCAAGGGAGGCTCAATTCGTTAATCGAAACGTGTGATTGCACCGAATGACATTGATTTCCTTGCGCATATATCATTGTATAATGATTATGTATAAGCGACGAGTTCGAGCGTTTCTTGTTTGATCCAGGAAAAAATATGCTTGATCTTAGACGCATTTACAATGATTTCATACTGATCTAACGATTCAATTGTAATTGAATTAATATGCAAGCATGATGAAATATAGGAGCAATTATAATGAAATGACTTTACCTTCAAAAACGTACCGTTGACGGCATTTATATCGCTTCGTGCGTCTTTAACATCGATTTGAAGATCTCCTCGCGCCACGTCATATTTCATTGTATTGTCCGATCGCGAGACGCATCTCTGTCATTTTTATCGTCTGCATCGTCTCGTTATCCGGCGTAGGTCGCGAGCGCAGGGTCAACGCCCTGAACTTTGCGAAAACCAGTTATCGGCGAACGTGTGCGGGCCCACGTTTGCCGGCCGGAAGTAGTCTTTGCAGCAACACGCTCTTTCGACAACCGTTGTGAATCTACGAGCGTTGGCGCACTATAACGTTTCCTATCGACGTTATTTCCCCCGAGCCATTCCGAGAAGTAGAGTCGTGAGCCACGATCTGTCGATCATCGCGACTATTCTCACGGCTGACGAGTTGTTCTCGATTATGCGGCACGATACTGGCAATTTGTGCTGTATCAGCAACATTTGTCGGCGTCTTTAATCATTGAGAAACGTCACTTTAATAATGATAGCAATGAGTCGACATGATATTGTATAACGTTTAGAATCGAAAGATACAGAATCCTAATTGCCCGCTGTTATCTTTGTCAATGGAAGCGATAGTTTTAAAGATTGCGACTACTAATAAGAATTAGAAGATTTAAAATGAATCTTGAGAAGAGAAACACTCATGATTGATCTAAATATAATTCTTATTGCCATATCTTTTCATTAGGTTTTGTGCCATTATTTGTTTACATATAGATTGTTTGACTGGCGACCAGAGCGCATGCGGGGCGAACCGTTGAAGTGCGAAAGGGTAGTTATCTTAAAGAACCTTTTTACACCGGAGGATTTCGACAGAGAAGTCCAGCTGCTTCTAGAGTACCAGCAGGATATCCGATCCGAGTGCCTCAAATGCGGTGACGTCAAAAAAGTCGTCATTTATGACGTGAGTTTTTATTTTTATTTCTGTGCGTTTGTAGTATTACTCTTGTGCTAAACGCTATTAATTTTAATCGCTGGATAATTATTACACACAATTCAAATAATAATTAAAATTTTCTAATCATATTCTATCTACTATATTAATAGTTAAAAATTGTGAATATTGCGAATCTAAAACGCGAACTCTTAATATATCTAAAATTTTTGTTGAAACCGCCGTTTCTCCTTTAAATTGAATCAAGTGATCGACCCTCCTCAGCGTATTTTTAGCGACAGAATTTCATGGAATAGGCAAGAGAGAGAATAGGCAAGAAAACGCCTTCGAAAGGGGATTCCCCTAACCCCCATAAATCGAGAGGCGTGAAGCGAGATACTCCCAGTCTTTGCGCCTCAGCCGCGAAACTATTCAATGTCAAAGTACATTCCATCCGCACGACGTGTGACGTGTGACACTCCTTTCCGCGTATATATATATCTCTCTCTTTCTTTTCTTTCTGCTTCTCTATTTTTGTTTACAATTAGAGATGTTGTCATTGTTATTGTCACGCATACATGGACATTGTATTTGTCTATTTGGTATTATTCGTAGGATGAAATCTTTATATATATTTTAACGCTTTTAATTTGCCGGATTAATTTGTCCTGAGTCCTGATTTTTGCAAAGCAAAAATCCACGTAACATTATATAATCTTATTTTATTAGAATGTTATTTTTTTGATGCTGCGATATGAGAAATAGCATCGACTTCAAAAACTATGCGAGGAATTTTATGTTCTGCTACCTAATTTACCAGAAGCATTTAGCTGCCATTTTTTTCTCATCTTAAGAGCACGTGTTACCGCCAATGTGTTCTAGACTTAATGCCATCTATGAAAATCGGGCACGAACTTATGCAATCATCCAATATATATTTTAACGCTTTTAATTTGCTGATTAATTTGTCCTGAGTCCTGATTTTTGCAAAGCAAAAATCCACGTAACATTATATAATCTTATTTTATCAGAATGTTATTTTTTTGATGCTGCGATATGAGAAATAGCATCGACTTCAAAAACTATGCGAGGAATTTTATGTTCTGCTACCTAATTTACCAGAAGCATTTAGCTGCCATTTTTTTCTCATCTTAAGAGCACGTGTTACCGCCAATGTGTTCTAGAGTGAATTATGGCCTTTTAGTGTCGTACTTGTCGTACGGTTTGCTAAAGCAGTGGCTCAAAGGAGATCCGCTGAGAGTTTTATGGAATTCTATAACGTCTACAATTCTTCCGTAAATGAGAAAAAAGATATGAAATTTGGTATTAAAATCTGTAAATTGTAATTACGGATTACAACTGATATTAAAAACAAAAGAAAATTAATTTGAAACTTATGTATAAACTTTACTTTATCAAACAAAAAAATCGATTTTATTATATTTAAATACATATATTATTTTATATATCTAAATGTATAGTATAATGTTACTATATGTATACCAAAAAATATATTATTACTATGGATTTTCCTATGTGTAGTCTCATTCAATTAAACAGAAAAGATGTATCAATTTGGCAAAACAAAATTGTAAAGCAGTAAGTTTTAATTACATTTTAATTTTTTGAAATTATTATTTTCTATGTTCTGTTCAATTTCCAATAATATTAACTCCAACAGGCAATCGGCTGTCGAAATGTGATTCAATGAAATGAAACGATCTGTGTTTGATCCATATTTTATGTGGATCGCCTTGCATTTATTTTCTCTTTTTAGAGACATCCCGAAGGAGTAGCGCAAGTCACATTCCGAGAACCGGCAGAGGCGCAAGCTTGTATACAGCTTCTGAACGGCCGTTGGTTCAGCCAGAGGAAGATCTCAGCAGAAATCTGGGATGGCAAGACCAAGTACAAGTGAGTATTATTTCATTGCTGATTTCTACTATACCGGCTTTAGAGTCAACACCGATAGTTGCTGGAACAGGCATCTGGATCGATCGGGAACCTAAACCGTTCCTGTATTTTCTTACATATTTGTGTGCTATTTTAAACAAATATTTAAAATATAAATTATAAAAAATTAAATTATCACGAGACACGCTATAATATATTGTTGTTTTCAAGAAATATTTTAATTGGCATCTACTCCTGAATAAACCCTCTCACTTGAATCGAGAGAGAAGTAGAGTGTCTCTTGTGATATCCACATCATTTATCTATTGCCGGTACAATCTGCCTTCATTCAATTAGCAATAAACGCTGTAGTTTAATTGCAATACTGATTGCAGACATGTCTCAAAGTTGTCGTACAATTAATTCATATATATTACATGTCCTGAAATTAATGATATATCTGTTAATGCATCGAAATATTTCTTACAGAATTACAGAAACTGATGCAGAGATTGAAGCGCGACTACAAAAATGGGATACATACCTGGAGCAAGAAGACGAGCGAAAGGAAAAGAAGGAGCAGGAAAAAAAAAGCAGTAATATAGATCAAAAAGCATCGCAATAAGAATGCATTCCACGACCGATAAAATTGTAATCATATTTCAACGGATTCTATTTTCCTTATTTCCACACACACACACAAACACACACATACACACACACACACACAAAAGTCCTCGTCGTCGTCGAGACACGCTATAATATATTGTTGTTTTCAAGAAATATTTTAATTGGCATCTACTCCTGAATAAACCCTCTCACTTGAATCGAGAGAGAAGTAGAGTGTCTCTTGTGATATCCACATCATTTATCTATTGCCGGTACAATCTGCCTTCATTCAATTAGCAATAAACGCTGTAGTTTAATTGCAATACTGATTGCAGACATGTCTCAAAGTTGTCGTACAATTAATTCATATATATTACATGTCCTGAAATTAATGATATATCTGTTAATGCATCGAAATATTTCTTACAGAATTACAGAAACTGATGCAGAGATTGAAGCGCGACTACAAAAATGGGATACATACCTGGAGCAAGAAGACGAGCGAAAGGAAAAGAAGGAGCAGGAAAAAAAAAGCAGTAATATAGATCAAAAAGCATCGCAATAAGAATGCATTCCACGACCGATAAAATTGTAATCATATTTCAACGGATTCTATTTTCCTTATTTCCACACACACACACAAACACACACATACACACACACACACACAAAAGTCCTCGTCGTCGTTTCGCGCTGAATGTTAAGCTCAAAGCTTTTTCTTTGGGCGTTTTAATGAGAACGCGATGATTAATCGATCCTGTCGACGACGGCGTGGTTGAAGATTATAAGCTGCTCGCAATCTTCGTCGTTGAATCGGCGCTACTGTTGTATTAGTAATATATTGTTAGTCGTTGCAACAATAAAGATATCTCTTCGGGTTATCTTCTCACATCGCATCCATTTCCCCAAATGTCATCGCGACATCAATCTATATTTTCTTGATTTTCCTTCCTCAATTCCAAACCTGTATAGATAAAAAGAATCGCGCACACGTGATATGATGAGATCATGTATGTAAAAACATATAATAATGCGATAGAAATAGTTAAAAAGTACATTTTACACATATGTTATTAAAATTAAATTTAAAACAATAATCAAAACGTCAATAATATGTTAATATAGCTTATTATAATTTCTACTAATTATTAATTCCACGGGCCTGAGAAAAATCACATACAATAAAGAAAGAATAAGAACAAAACAAGATAAAGAGACAGGAATTCCTTGGAATTCTCTAATTTGCTATTTCGGCGTTCCTGACAATCTCCTTTCGTGGGACTGCATCAGCGGGAGACGGTCGCTGCCGATCTGTCAAAAAACGTGGTTTGCAGTATCCTTGGACTGCGGCGTCCTTTCTCGCGATTATACACTCGAGCGAATTGCTCGTCGAAATCACCTGATCGGCAGTAAACGCTATTTATCGGAGATACTTTGAAACGAAAGTCATTTCAGTTGAAAGACCGAAGTTAATGATTGCTTTTGTTCCTCGAAGTTATTTTCTTGAGACTTAAGGCTCGCGAGTTTTTCTCTGAAAAGATTTCTTTTGCGAGATATAAAATTATTCCAAAATATATATATAAATTTTAAGATTCTTAAATGAGATATAATGGAAATAAATCTTAAGATCTCGATATTTAAGTACTTCTTAAAGTCCTATATCTGTTTTCATTGATGATCTAGCAACTAGATCAATGCCGATTTTTCGATCGGCACACGTGGCGAAAAAGAACAACGCTTCGAAACGCGGGGGTTTATTCGAGCGGTGTCTTTGCTTCCTATTGTCCAGCATATATTCGAGCCATTCCCCTTGCGATGGGGATGAAAGTACGAGTGGCGGCATATTTCAGTCGTCCCGCGTCATTCATGATCCAGATAGGGCAAGGCGATCCCATCCGGCAATATCACTGACAAATTTAATGCCCAGCTATTAGGCAGCGGGGGGGTTCACCTCGCCCCTTCTATCAGCCTATTGTCGAAGTGGCCACGTGCAGGATGACTACTGTTCCTCTCGCCCGGGCGAAAACGTTTAATCGTCATGTTGTCCGGAGACCTTCTGCGAAAAAAACCCCGCGCCCTCGTCACGCTTGTCGAGGGTTATTGGATTTGCCCGTCGCTCGGAAGTGCTAAGTCGTTTGGGAACCTGCTAAGTTACACGCGAGATTACACCAACCAATGTAACGTCGGACACGATTTGATACAGTCAAGTGTTTGTCGAGACGCTACGTGTTTTCCGCTGTAGTGATTATTTACTCCGCAAATATATAGTAAGAATTAAATGAAATTATATTTATTTTGTGAAACTAAATTTTTTATAATCTTCGAAATCAAAAATTGATTATGAAATATTTGAAGAATGAGAATATATTTATAATATAAAGTCGTTATAAAGCGTTATAAATTTTCACGACACGCAGTCTCTAAGCGATTCAATGCATTAACCTATCTAACAATAAGATCTCGAAGCTAATGACAACTACTTTATTTATAACATAAAATAGTTATTAAATACATACATGTACATAAAAAAATATTTCTATACAATTTTATTTATATAAATAGATAATATTAAAAAACATGCGTATATTATATAATATTTCATGAAATAGCCTCAAAATATCGTAATTTGTAAATAATATATAAAATAGTATGTATTTTATGCATAGATAAATATAGTCTTAACAATTTGAAGATCGGTTTAAAAAATGAGTTTTTTTATAAATGTGTGTATATAAATAATATTAATTTAAGAGTATTAAAACTTAAGAATTACTATTCTTCGGCGGATACTGCTTTATCAGCATCTTCGGCTGCCCTTCTGAATCGAAAACCACCAGTTACACCAACCGAGGGAGAGAGTCCATGGCCTCCCGGGCGTGGTTGAATTTGAGTGTGACCTCTGATGAAACCGTCTTTGCCAAAGTTTCTCTCAACCTGGACGCCGACGTGCGGCTGCACTCGTTGTCCAGGTACTTTATTCAATCCTCCATAGACATCCGCCGTTGTGCGACCATTGTTATAAATATTGCGATTGGCGTTAAGATCCCAGCTAGGTTGGCGGTTCGGACTGCTCAGAGCCTGCGTCCCCTGGAAGTTTATTGAACCTCCGTGTGGTTCTGCCTCCCGTCTGAATCGGAAACCACCGGTTACACCAACCGAGGGAGAGAGTCCATGGCCTCCCGGGCGTGGTTGAATTTGAGTGTGACCTCTGATGAAACCGTTATTGCCAAAGTTTCTCTCAGCCTGGACGCCGACGTGCGGCTGCACTCGTTGTCCAGGTACTTTATTCAATCCTCCGTAGACATCCGCCGTTGTATGACCATTGTTCAAGATATTGCGATTGACATTAAGATCCCAGCTAGGTTGGCGGTTTGGACCGCTCAGAGGCTGCGTCCCCTGGAAGTTTATTGAACCTCCTTGTGGTTCTACCTCCCGTTTGAATCGGAAACCACCGGTTACACCAATCGAGGGAGAGAGTCCATGGCCTCCCGGGCGTGGTTGAATTTGAGTGTGACCTCTGATGAAACCGTTATTGCCAAAGTTTCTCTCAGCCTGGATGCCGACGTGCGGCTGCACTCGTTGTCCAGGTACTTTATTCAATCCCCCGTAGACATCCGCCGTTGTATGACCATTGTTCAAGATATTGCGATTGACATTAAGATCACAGCTAGGTTGGCGGTTTGGACCGCTCAGAGGCTGCGTCCCCTGGAAGTTTATTGAACCTCCTTGTGGTTCTGCCTCCCGTCTGAAGCGAAAGCCATCGGTTACACCAAAATCATTTTCGGCTTGGTCACGAGAACGCGGATTCTATAAAGAAAGATGAAGATCAACAATCTTGAAAATATAATTCTTTTGTGTACAAAATACATATTTATTTCTTGACATATTTATTTTAAATTCGAATTTATAGCTAAATTGATTCTTAAATAATTATTTTTAAATTTGCATTTGGTTAATAAATTATCTAAATTGAATATCAATGCTTTATATTTAAAATAAAAAACTCTTTAAATGCCTCCCAAAGACAGCTTTTTTATTTATTACTGTATTTGGAAGTTACATATAAGTATGCAAGAAGGACAGAAATCATTCGCGAGAGTACAAAGATACTTTTCAACCTAGGAAATTCCCATTCAATGACAATTTCAGATTTGACAGGTGTCTTTGTGAGTCACCTAAGAAACACGAAATAATTACAGTGCGACATATTATAATATATGTATAGCCACGTATGTATAGTTATAATTTGACATAGCGCAAAAAATAGTGTGCGTTTATAAAAAGAGTATTTTTTAATTTAAAATACGTGGGAAATATTCATCTATGTTATATTCAATTTAAATAATTAAATAATCAAATGATAATTAAGAAAAAGATGTATAAGAATCAGTTCAGCTATGAAGTCGAATTTAAAATAAACTTATAAATTTTAACTTTGATTTATTTTAATAGTATATTATTTAAGTTACAATTACTTACATGTGACAGAATTGGATCGGTGGGCAGTGGTTCGGGTTTCCACAAATCGGCGCTCGTATAAACGATAGCACATGATAAGGCTAACACAAAAATTAACAGCTTCATGGTTGATATTAATTGTGTTTTTCTAAGAAAGTAAGGAATGTTTCCGTTTCTACTGCGAAACGACTTCTGATGCCTGTCTATCTTTTCTCGTTCGCTTATATACAAATTTTCGACTCGGGAATGTACTCCTAAGATTTTTTCCCGTTGCATTATCTGCCACTCCGGGTAATACCCAGCAGATTTTGTGCGCCTGTGAGTTGAGTCCACGCAAGCAATCGCTCGCGCCGGGAAACCCTCGCGCAGTGAACAGATATAAAGCTGTCATTGCGCGAACATATTTCTTTCAACACGTGCATTGTTACAACAATCGTTCTCATGTCGCACCTGCGTATCCAATGATATGAGTAATAGTCTTTTATTTTATCTTGTTTGACGATATTTTGATGTCAAAATATTTACGAAAACGAAAATACAAGTGATAAATGATGAATGTCGTCATGTGTACAAGTTCTATAATTTCTCTTATTTTTTATTTAAGTAACAGATGTTATTCTAAATAATTATATGTATAATTATTAATAAACATATAAGAAGGAAATAAATTTACATTTGATCTTTATACTTGAAGATCTCACTATTATGAAAAACTTTCAGAACAATGAAATATGTTCTATTTTTCTTTTAATTCGTTAAAATGCATGTATTTTTACGATTTAAGTATATTTTCTTATAATGTCGTTTCTCTCTCTCTCTCTCTCTCTCTCTCTCTCTCTCTCTCTCTCTCTCTCGCCTACACATATACAGGGTCCGCGTAATTATAACTTCGGTAGAATCCACGACGACAACACTGTCGAACGTATTCTCGTTCTCGAGCTATTCACCCGTTTCGTAGGTGTGCTCGTGCACCGTGTCAGTCTAATTATTTCGTTTTCCGTTGAGCCTAAGACCGGGACGAGAGACGACGAGGACGGAAAAGTGCGGATGGGGATGGAGGATCCCGAGGGCACTTTCTTGGAGCTCTTTTAACGGTCGCTTTAATGCGCCTACGAGCCCCTCTCAACCGCGAATCGTTTTAAGTTGTCCAACTTTTGTTTTCACCTCTTTTGATCGCGATACCGATTTCTCCTCGATTCCAGAATTACTTGTTTGCGCTTGCCAATATTAAATTAGAGACGTATCAATTTCGAATGCGAAAACATTTTGATATTCGAGCACATGTCGCAAAAAATTGACGAAACTCTATTTTTTGTGTAAAAAGAAATAATACTACATACACAAAAAATATTATTCTATTGCTAAGTAAAATGATTACTCAGTTTACTTTACTTCTTTTAAGTAACAGTTATCTTTAACAAAGAAGAATTTCTTAATAATAGTCTTAAAATAGACTTGTCACAAATTTTAGAAAAACTCATTATCATGTACTCAAAAAAAGTAAATATTTTCTTTTGAAGAATATTATAAAATTTTATCGAAGAAAAGTCAGATATGGTTAATTTAATGTAAGAAAATTTATTAGATCAGAAAAATTTAATGTATTTCTTTCAATTATATAATTTAATATTCTTGATTGAAATATTAAATTTATTAGGATTCAGAATATATTTTGAATAAATTTGATGCTTATGATAAACTTATGATAGATTTGCGGATATATAAACTTATGAAATACTTGAAACAAGTAATATTTACTTGTATATAGTATATATTTTTCTGTGTGCAGATATAACAGATTGCGAAGAAAATAAAAATTTCCATGCAAGAAAATGAAAATAGTTTTATTATGCATACGACATTGTATATTTGATCACAGACGTGCTCGTCATATCTTCCACTTTTTTTTTTTTGTTCTGCGCGTACTTTATATCCCTCGTTCTCCCGTTCTCAAAACAATCACAGTGGGGTGTGTGCATACGATTGTGGCACGAGCAGCATGTCAGGGAACGCACCTGTGCCCAGTTGCTTCTGAAAGTGCGTTCCCCATCTCTCTGCCTTTTCACGGCTACCAAACACTATTGTGCGATACGCTCGTTTTTAAAAGCGCTTTTCTTCGTGTGATATTACCGGCTATTGTCGAAACTGATTGCACGAGGAACAATGTATCGATCGTAATTTTAGCTGATATAAAAATTATATGTAACGACCATCATCACACATAAGTAGAATCCTAAATGTACCCGCATGTATTTCGACGGTAGTTATTATAGTACGGCAATAACCGGTAATGTGTAAATTCATACACATATTGGAGCGAAGCGTCGATTTGCTGCCGCGATTATTATCGGCCTACGATCGAATTGACGATAAATTTTATCCTGTTATTACAAACCGTAAACAATTATTACGAATATTAACCACAGATTTATGTTTTGCCAGAGTTCTGTTATATGTGTTTTGAATTTCCCCAGAGAGATTTTTGATTTCTAAACTTCGATGTCTCGTCCCTCCTCTCGATGACACTCGGAACATCATTATCACTCATTTGCTAGAATCGCACATTTCCTATCTCTCTCTTTATATTTTTCAAGATATATTTCTCGACTATAAAATATCTAATGCGGTGGAGATAATGTGTCGTTTATCTAGTTGTGCCATCTCGAGGTGACTAACACCTTGGGTGGCATCTCGTTTAGTGAAGATATCACCGGTAGATCTAGGAACCACGCGGGGACCGGAGTATTTTGTCTGCTGTCACGGTATGGCTCCACTCACGAGAGCGTAATTTATATGCTCGCCCATAGACGGGCATCGCGATGGAGGCGTGCAAAGAGCCGAATGCATGAAAAATCTCAAATGCGACATCCGAGTCATCATGAGTCGCAGGATCGCGCGAAATCGGTCATCCGCTATCGCTTGACATTTTGCGTTTTATTGTTTCTCTTGTTTGAATGCCCGCATAGTCCTAATCGGCTGTAAAAATTTCGATATGTATAGTCGATTTCAAGATGATCGAAACCTTTTTTTTCATGATTCTCGGAATGTGTATAATATGCAAAAATATATACAATATTTGTTTTTTGGAGATAAAAATACCGCTATCTTTGAAGTCTTTAGAAATCAAATTCTTTTTGGACATCGAATACATTCTAAGAAATTAAGAGAAAAAATGTATCATAATTTTTTAACTTAATTTTTTAATAAATTTTTTTTATATAGAAAAGGAGTATTTATGATACGAAAGAAAGCAAAAAAAGGAATTCTCAAGAGAAACAATTAAAAAATTTACAATTATATTATCATTATTGTTTGCGATGTATATTGGTAATCACGTTCGAAATAAAAAGGGCTGCAACTGTCTAATATTGACGATAAACGACGCAAAATTCT